TACATTTGGATTTTGTGACTAACTTACCATGTAAATTCATGTGGATATCACGATTTTTTGTCCCAAACTCGTGATATCCATATGAATTTACATGGTAAGCTAGTCACAAAATCCAAATGTACCAAAAAATATGCGCATATTTTTTTTATGCCATAGCATATATCTGGCGGATAAGTCAAACTCTGATCACTTTAGCCATTTCGTCGCAAATAAAACCATTTACAGTAAGCTGTTTAGACTGCATTATATGTATAAATCTCATATAGAGGAGCGCCGTATTTTTCGACCAAAATAGCAACAAAGTCATGTCAACGTCAATAGCGATTGAATGTCCAATTTAAAGAATTGTGAAAAATGCCAAAAAATTGAAACGCTGTACATTCGCACATTCGTTCTGTGTATTAGGCATGGAATAATTGCGCTTGACATAAAAATAATGAATTGTTTCTTTTTTTCAAATGCCGGGACTATAAATATTCTTTGGCATTCATTTCATTTTGTTCATTTGAATTCATTTGAATTCATTTGAATTTTAAATTTTATGCAAAATGAAGTTAAAATGATTCATTCTGTACTATTCCCTTCGATTAATACCGGATGAAGCAAGTGATTCGAGGGATCATCGCCAATTGTTGAAGGAAAACCGGCAAAAGAAAGCAATTTAAATTGTCCAAATCATTGGCTCCTGGTTTAATGTATGTCACCGACAGCTGGTTATGAGTAGCACAACATTTCAAAAAATCAAATGACATCTACAAACAATACGACACGAATCGCTGAATCGTTAGATACGTAGTATCTCTGCATGGAAAAGCCTCGTATTTTGACAAAAAGTATTCAGGATTTTAAAGCTTCTACTTGACCATTGCATGATATTGAGCTCTCCCTTGATGCACAAAATGGGAGACTACTCGAAAATAATCGAAATCGACTTATGGAAATGTACGGCTGGTGTGGTGACAATTACCGATTGATTCACAAATGTCATCTAAATGACAGTGCTCTGAAGAAAAAATGCTTCAAAGTGTGTTGTCAGTATAAATTTTATAGGAAAAAAATATTAAAATTCGGCGAGAAAATCAAACTCAAGGAAATAATGATGCCGAGACAATGACTTGTATTGCCGGTAATAGCAAAGGAAAATACCAATAAAAAAAAATCTACACATCATCACTCATTCGCTCATTGCAATGATTGACAACCCATCAGCACGTAAAGAATGCATGCTGAAAATGCATTCGATGCGAGTTGTTAATAATGTATCAATGGATTTTGTCATCGTGAATAATTTCTGAATTCAATGAGTTCAAGGAATTCCTTTTGAAAATTCTTGGTGAATATGTATGTAATTTCTAGGTTTTATTCATTGCGAGCCCAAGAAAATTCATGAATATTTAGAGTTGGTTGTGTCAAAAGTACAAAAACGTTCCATTTGGCGAAATAATTTGCATGCATTGCACAAAACTACGTCCCAAGAATAAATCCGCTGGAAAATGTTTGAATGTTTGATATGATGACGATTACGTAGCCGCTGGCCAAACATTCTTAATTGCTAGTGCAATGTAAATGAAAAGACGTCATTTCAATTACTTTAGATTTTAATTTTTTTTTATTATTTTCCATTTCAATAATAGTTCTGTGTTGTACCAGTTCATAACAGAGACTTTTTGTGTTTGTTTGTTTAGTTTTTTCCCTTCTTCTTGCCTCCTTCATGGTTCTTCTTTCTTTCCATTGTTATTTTAGTCACTTTGCATTTTTGTGAGTGTTCCTCAGTTTGTTCTTCGTCTATACCATTTTCTTACTCGAATTTTGTTCAATGAAACTTTTACTGAATGCTTACTGTTGTTGTTTTTGTTGTAATTTTATTATTATGTTTTTGTTTTATTTTCATTTTAAATTAATTGATTATACTTTATTCATACGCCATTGAAGCGTACTTTTGTTTGTAGCCTGATATATAAATAAATCATAAAATTTGTATTTATTAACAAGCCGTATCACACATAAGTTTAAATCCTTTGAAATTTTAGTTATTTTTAATCTAATTTTGTGTGTGTGTGTGTGTGTGTTTGTTTTGTTTTATTTCAATTTTTTACTCGTTATCAATAATCTTAAATTAGCGTTACGACTTAAACTTCCTTTTTTTTCTTCATTTTCCTCTTTCTCCTTTTTATTTTCTTCCCTCTTTTCTTCTTGGATGACCAACATAAACAATTTTCGGTGTCCTTAGTTTCTTTGTTCATCATCTCTAAAGACTGCCGCTAGCTGCACAATCGATATCAACGTAGTTTTTGCAACAGATAAATTAAATGTCAATTGGGTTTGTTTGTGTTGTTGGAAGGTTGGGAGTGATAAAAGGAGTGTGGGATGGGGTGGAATTGATATACAATAAAATAAACAGACCGGTTTCGGTATAATCTATAGAAATAAATTAAACATGTTCCGCAGTCCATTACATGCCTTCTTATTCAATACATGAATTAAAATAGCATTACAATACGTAAGAAGACCAAATTAAATTCATCAAATTTGTATTCTCAACAATTCTTCTCTTCTTATTCGAAGTTTTCTCTTCATTTTCGTTTTAATTCATTTATTTAGTGTTCTTTTTTGTTCAGTTTAGTTTTTAGTCATTTGGGTGTAAAATGTCTTGAAAATATTACATTCCCATAAAAAAAATTGTGTATTTTTTTTTTCTTCTTTTTCTTTTTTCCGGTCGTTTTTTTTTGTGTGAAATTGGAATTCCTACAATCAATTTTAGTTTTGTTGAAAAAAGCGAAAATGAAACATTTTCCCTATCCATGTCACTTATGATGCATTTTTGTTGATGGTATTTTTTTTTTGTAAATGTATATTTTGATGTTGTTCTTGTTGCTGTTGTTTTGTTTTGACTTGGCCTATTTCGATGTGATGCCGTGTGATTCATGTGAATCGAACAATCGAACTAATTAATAGTTTAATCGAAGAGGGCGGCCAAAATGTCATCGTTGTTTGGGTTATTGCTAGAGCCGCTGCTTGGTGGCGTGTGTAAGTTCAAATTGGGTTGATCCAAATATGATAAAAGTTCGATGGGATCTACAACACTGTCTGGAAGTAGCTGCAAAATCGAAAGAGAAGAACACAAAAAAAAATTAAAATATCGAACGTAAAAGAGAGAATAAAAGGGGCACACATTACAGAGAAAATCAAGTCCACTTACATTCAAATCGTTTGTACTGTTACCGTCAATAACAGCAGCTGGATCAAAATTGAGATCAGAATTTAGATCGACTGACAGATTGACCAAGCTGCCGGTGTTACGGGAATTAGCGAGCGAATTTGACGATAAATTATCCATTAAGTTTTGATTATTCATATTGCTTTTGTGTTGCGGGGATTGATTTTGGGCCGGCGACGAATGGTTCGCATTCATGTTGCTGTTATTATTGGTTTCATTGTAGATGGATGAAACGCTTGGAGGTCCACCTGGTGTCAATGGATGTGTGGCCGCTGCTCCTCCAGGTGTATGCGGTGTGTGTGGCATCTAAAAAAAATGGTTACACAATGATGATTTCAATGTTACAATGCGACAGTAGGTCATTACATAAATGTCGTTTCAGTTTGTTTCAAAATGTTTCTTTTGAATTTTTTTTATTGTTTATTTTCTGGATCTTCCTGAAACACAAACATTACGGTTTGGAAAGCGTATTCATCCAAAAAATGAGCTTAGATGATAAACTTCAATGCGATGCTTTGACTCTAAACTTGAGTAAGCTTCGATTGAGAGAGACGAATGGAGACGCTTATGCGAATGGAGACGGTTGGAAAGCGTTCTTCATGTACAAATCAATGCGTCGTAATAAAAGAATCGCTGCCATCCCCAAACACATCGAGTGTGTGTTTTCGTATGTGGAACATGATAGTACGTGCCACATTCGATGCCCACAAAATATTGGAATAGAATGGGACTTTTTTTGCTAACAAAATTAGTACAGTCGACTCATACAATGAAGTCGTGTTTGTATGTGTGTGTGTGTGTGTGTGTGTTTGAAAGATAGAAAAGTCATTGCGCATGTCATTTGTTAACGGACGAACACCACTGTACCAAAATGCATATATGATCGAGTGTGTTGTGTGTTTGCAGTGTGTGTTGTTTTCGTATTATATCGGGTTTTTTCTCTGTTCCTACATCTTTTGTTATCCGCGCGTATGAATACGAAATGTCAACTGTTTCCATTCAACGCAAAACCGTAGTGGGTGGAGTATGGAATTGAAAATGTTAGCGTAATTGAGGATGTGCATTTGCGCATCAAATCGTTTTGTTTGCAAACAATTTACAATTAAATTAGTGTTGCAGTAGTGGTGTGACTTTAGCACAAAAGCAGAGATAGATAAATGCGATGGACAGAGACCGGGATAGAAACCCATATATAGATTTCGCAACTTTGCACATGCCAATAATTGGAATCGATATCCTCTCCACTATCGAAATGAACAGCATATTTATGTACCTCGTTTATTGTTTTTTCCATGGCATTCAATGGATCAATAGCGTTCACAGATTCACTTAAATGTGCTAATGGATTTCCATGACTATAGTCTCCCGTCGGTGCCACACTTGTGCCAGATGCTGAACCGTTGTCATAATTCCGATTGCTGGTCGATGAAGAGACAAATAAAAAAGACAATCATTTAATATACATATATATATTCATCCAGTACACGTATGCACAAAATTGAGTCATAAAGAAGAAAATGACATGTGATTCGAGTGAATGTTTAATTAAATTCTTACTTTTGTCCTATCATGCTGCCGCTTGCAATTGAATTCATGTCCGGGCTCATGTAAGGACTCATTGCTTGTGAGTTATCCCAGGTTGGTATTTGTGTTGAGCCAGGCGATACCACATTACTTGACAGCCGCTTTGTTTCGCTATCGTCCTCCGTCTGCAAAACGTACAAACAAACAAACACAAAATGAAAATGTTAAGTTTTTGTTCGGGCTCATGTGTCGATACGCTCAATAATTTATATGCAACACCAACAATTTACCTTAATATTAGCTGCACCAAGTCCATGCACTGATTTCCAATTGGCATCCGAATCGATGGTGACTTCTTCGATTGGCGTTGAGCTCAATGTATTCAATATTGCCCAAATGTATTGATCGATTTCAAGTCCTTCGGTTAACGCCGGCTTACTGCACAGACACGGGCGCACACGATACAGAACGATTGAAAGAGAATATTTAAAATCGGCTTTTAGTAAATTTCATCGTTTTTTAGGTCAATATTGTCGAAAATCTTTCTCTCTCTCTCTCTCTCTCTCTCTCTCTCTCACTCAAACTTACTTGCACACGGGACACCGCCAACTGCCACGCTCACGGTTCAGATGTAAATAGGATTCCAAATCAAAACACTGAATGTGCTTGCATTCGTGACCTCGTGCCGGTAGTGTTATCCGTTTGAACGTTATGGGACATATTAACGAAACCTATTTACGGATTGGCACAAGAATTGAATGCATTACAATCGCAACTTCAAATAAATTATTTGTGCAAAGGGAAAAGTGTGTATGGTGGGGGAGCACAAACCTTAAGCGATGCTTGATCTGTTGTTGAATCCTTATTTTCACTAGTTAGTGTTTGACTAGAATTGAAATTTCGTTTGATTTTGGCCACACATGTGTCGACAGACACTAAACTACGACGTAATAGACCTTGCAGCGCATGCCGAATTGTTGGTCGGTGAACTAGTTGTAACACAAACAAATGAGACTGCAACGAGAGAAAAAAAGATGAGAAAAAAATCATAATCAAATTATCATTAATTTATATGTATGTTAAATGAGAGCAAATGTCGATTGAAACTCAGTTTCCTGCTCTAAAGATGGAGAAAGGAAGGACAAATGGTTTGGTGATTAACTTACGCAACAGCACGCGCTAACTGTAATCTGAATGGTGTTTCGGCCGGGTTGACAAACACGCTTCAAATAAAGTGGTCGATGTGAACTTTTATTGTCGCCGCGGTCAATCACCAACGGCGTTGCATTCGCTGACACTTGAACGCTGGCTGGCCAATTTGTGTTCATTTGACGATCCTCATGGTGGAAACACTTCAACTGCACCTCTAGATCCGATCTGATGACAAAACACAACCGAATATTACATCACATTTTCAAGGGGAACAGAAAACAAAAAACACAATATGCAGTTATGCACACAAAAAGATTGGCACAATATTCGAACGAAATAACCCCAGTCATATGAAATGTCTATCGTTCGAATGAAATAGGTATAATATATAAATGGATACAAAAACAAAAATTGATTGAGATTTTCCAGTGGCTGGCTAAATGTCATCATTCTCTTGAATCTATGTGTGTGTGTGTGTGTTGGGCAAGTGAAGCATGATTCTACCATTATCAGCCATTGTGGAATTGCTCATCTATTTTTGGGGGATGCACAGTTCAATTTTCCAACCAATCACTTACCTGTTCATCAATGTATTGTATACTATGGGCTTCAATTGGAACACATGATTACTGACGGACAAATTGTGCTCCAATCGAAATGGTGGCAAAATAATGCCATCACGTACGGGGAAGGTAAGTCGCAATTCATCGTCTTCTGAAATAGAAAGGAGAGAAAGTTTGTAAATATCGAAGGAAAGTGTTGAAACTTTAATGAATGCCAATTTTTTTGTGAAATCGATTCGTGGCTGATGTGATTGATTGAGTGCATTTCGCACTTTTGACCAAATGAATATTGGACTGTTAAGTGGATTGTGTACTTTCGGGTGTTTGGTCGAAAGAAAATGAGTGTATGTGGTACAACTAGATGCATGTAGAAAACTTACTCTGCATAGGATGTGGTTTGATATCTGGATTTGGACTAACGTATGGAGTCAACGATGTTGTATTGCTTATTGAAGGTGTTAATGGTGGCGTTGGATTTCCAGGTACTGGACTGTGTTGATAGTTTAATCGTACGTCTTGTTGGAAACTGCATTTCGAAAAGAAAAATTTTCAATGAATTTTCTGGATAAATAACGATAAGGATGATTACGATGATGATGTTAACGAAAGGAAAAAAAAAAAAACAAAGTAATTCACTGAATTGATTGTGTAACATTTACGAAGAAAATAAAACAATTCGCATGCATGTTTTTATTTCGCTCATGAAACAGTGAATGTTAACGATTGGCTGATGTAATCCTCATCAAAATGATTTAATCCTTACCCCTGAATGTTTTGATAGCCGGCTTGATTCATATTGTTCATGTTGTTCATATTATTCATATTATTCATGTTGGCGTTTGGAACGGGATGATTATAGTATTGTGTTTGATGATTGTTCGTCATCATGCCTCCTGCTGCTGCTGCTGCGGCCGCCGCCGCTGCAGCGGCTGCCGCTGGTGAATTGCCCTGGTTCATATTGTATTGTGGAGCTGTCAAATGGAATCGTGCTATTAGCATGTTTAAAATTGATCGAGTCAATAGAGAAGTGGAAGAAAAACTGTGCACTGTGCGTGTCATTTATATTTTCCACACACGACACACATGATCAAAAGCAATAATAATTTACCAGGTCTTTGTTGTGGCATCATTCCCGAACTTGGAACACGCAGATATGAATTGTTGGCGGCCATAGCATTCGCACTGGGCCGTATATAATTCTGATGCATTGGAGATGGAACTGGGCCATAGTTTTGTTGCTGATGTTGTTGGTACATTTGATTCGGTCCCATGTTCTGTGCTGGTGCCATTTGATGGTGATGATTCATTGGGTACATACCTCGCTTTTGTGCCACATGCATTTGTGATGTTGGATACGGTGACATTCTTCGTGTTGGGTATCTATTGTAAACAATAGCAGAGAGAGAGAGAGAGGGTGTAAAAATAAAAACGTTTGGGCCGTCAATTACAAGTCGTGTCGCGATTAAATTAGTTTAAAATTATAATTCAATTACCCATTAGCCATTCCTTGCATCTTTGCCATTGGATTATTTGTTTGTTGCATCTCACTCATTTGATTCAATTGTGCTATTGCATTCATTGTATTCATGCCCATATTTGTATTGGTCATTTGATTCATGGGGTGCATCTGTGTATGAGCGAAAACAAAAGACAAAAATAAAAATTTGAAAACAAAACAATGGCCGATATCATATAGTAAAGTTGTCAAACAACAAAGACAATCAATTGCCAAGCAGATATTATATCATTTTCTTTTGTTGTTTTATTTTTTTTGTGTTTCTTCTTCTCATTCCATTCAAATATACCTGTTGATTCTGTGCATTTAGATACTGCCGTGATACATTGTTATAATTCATTCCGTTCAGCGGCGCCATATTATTCATTTGGACCATATTGGCATTATTCTTGCCGTTATTCATGAACGAATGATTGTTTTGATTTTGCATATTCATATTGCCTAGCTGCCAATTTCGAGAAGAAAAAAACCAAGTCAATTTTTTTGTTTTATTGTTGTTGCTCATGAGTTCGGAATATTTAAATAAAAATTCAAAATAAATGCTAATGCCGAGTGTGTTGAGTGTTGAGGCGGTAGCATTGAGAGTTGAATTATTATGCTAAACTCCGCCACTAAAACTCTCTGTCTCACATACAAAACTCACCTGTGAATTGAAACACATATCCATGTTTTGTTGACTTCCTGTTACAGCAACCATATTTAAATTACTTTGCACATGGTTATTATTTACACTAAAGTTCAAATTGGAGCTAGAATTTTGTACTTCGGAACTTTTCGGGTGTTGGTGCTGTTGATTTTGTTGATGCGGTGGCTGCTGATAAAAACGTGATTGTTGCTGTTCCTGTTCGTACTGGTAATTTTGGTCAAAGTGATGCATTTGCGAATTTATATCTGTTATGAAAAAGAAGAAGAAAAGTAAAGCATTGTATGGAAGCTCTCCACATTGTTGGCTTGATATTTAATGGCATCGTTTTTTTGTTTTTCAGAAAAAAAACTTACAAATTCAGGCCAAAGTTGGATTCAATTGGTTTGCATAATTTTCTATCTCTCTACCTTTGTCTTTTCTTTCTTTCTTTTCTTCCCGTTCACGTAACTTCAATTGGTGGAATTCAATTTCTGGGAAACTTTACTCAGGGCCGTTTGTTGAGGCGTTCGGGAATGTATGTGATTTGATTGACTTGACTGGTTGTCGTGATTGTTGTTGTTGTTTTTGTTGCAGTGCAGCTCCTGACAAACAACTGCAGACATTGGAGACGCTTGAGCGATTGACGAATGAACCAAGCTCGGACTTTCATTCCGCGATCAATCCTACAAAAGGAATAAACAGAGATAAAACAAAAATACAATAGAATGGTTAAAGGTGACATACATATCTATATGTATATATATAGCATAAATGGAAAAATGTTGATCGTTAAAGTTGCATTTGGTACACGGTGAATGTTTTATAAAATTCATTGAAAAGTGTCATTTAGAACGAAGGTGACATGATTGGTCTCTTGATGTTGCGCGCGTGTGTGTGTGTGTGTTTGTGTCTTTTTTTCACTTCGCTTCTCTTTTCGCAACACACACCATCGAACCCAAATGACAGTGAGTGGAATACGGTTGCAGTGCAGAGAGCAGAGAATGAAAAAAAAACTACAAATTTACCAATATAAAGAAAAATTATCACATTTTTATTTCGTAACCATTTTTTTTTCGTTCGCCATTGAACCAATGAATGCGAAAGATATTGTGTTGGCATTTTCGAATGCGATATATTTCGCCCAGTGAAACATATAATTGCATACTCTGGCACATTTAAACATGCTACGTACAATTTTGCTGTTTTGATTTCAATTGCGTCGTTAGTGTTGTTACGTAACAAAAATGTTTAATTGAAATATCTGCGTGTATTTTTGGTTAAAAAGTCGTAAAATCAATATGAATTACTCTTTTGGCGTCCAAGTCGAAATGACCGGGCCGCAGAGAGAGAGAGAGAGACCGAGAAAGAGAGCAATCAGCATGAGCATCTGGACTGCAGTTTATTAAATATTATGCACACAAATCGATTTAAAAATGGCATCAGTTTTATAATTTTACCCGCAACATTTTTTCGGCCAAACAGAAAGGGAAAAACAATATTCGTGCACACACAAAACAATTCGATTCGCATAGCTGAATTAAACACGCATACAAACATACAAATCTCCATCAGTTCAATGCAATCCATTTGGCTATCACGTAATCAGCATTTTTGCCTGGCCGTTTCCCGATTGGCGGTGTGTGCGTACGAGTAACACAAGACCAGAAATTTATTTCATTAAACGCATTGCAGAATTGGACCGAAACAAATAAATGTCAAAAATAGTAAAACGTATGCGAAAGTGAATATTAAATGAAGTCACAAAGGATTTTTATTTTTCGGTGTGCGTTGTCGTTGTTGTTTTTGTTTCTTTCAAAGTTTTAAAAGAAATGGAACCAATTCCCAATTGGAGGGAAGTGACATTAAAATTCCGGCTATTTTATTCATAAGTGACAATCTGCAATCCTCAACACTAATTTAAAAAATTCGAACGAATTTTCAAATGAAATTTATCCACAAATTAACGTTTAACTTTTTTTTTACTTGTTTTTTTCTTCTGTTCCATTGGCACCAAACATCGTTCCATACTGAAACAGTTGATTTTTAAATCGTGTGTCGTTTTGTACGCATTCATGACTGACTATCAGTGTATCGTCTCAGAAGGTCATTGTTCTAAATGCGATTCAACGAAATAAATCGTACAATTCTTTCTTTTTATTTTCCTTTTGTTGTTGTAAAAAAAATTTCGGTTAATTCCAGCACGATATTCGACACTTGCCTCAAACTGAACGGAACTCAACAAAAGCGAACAATTCGATGAGCGAACAATGTAACAACAATGTAAAATATCACACCGTACAGTTGTTGATAATTTCCATTAGAATAATAATGGACAAGCTTTGAATAATAGAGTCAAATACTGACGAGTCATTCCATTGATAGTTTTAAAACAGGCCATATCTTAGCTCAGTCAGGTACGAGCTTCCTCGTCAATTAACCCACTTTTGAATTGAACCAGCGTCGCGGTGTGCGCATTTTTCACCGGGGTGAATTGCTTTTTCTGTTATTTTGATTGAATTAAGTGATTCAGTTGATCTAATTTTGGAGCATTTTTTACACTTTTCGTAAGTTTTAGATGGTAAACACGTTTAATAATTGTACATTTTGGCGTATTTATCTCTCGGCAACACAAATAATGTTCTTCGATTTATTTCCAGCCTGCCTGATCATGAAAATAGTAAACAATACAGCGCCGTCTGGGAACTAAGTGCAATGTGTCATACTTTCAATGTTCGAACTAACACAGATGCATACTTGTTATAGCAAACTATATGCATGATTCTCTATTTCTCCAACCATTCTCCAGGTGTCACTTTATTTTTCTTGTTTAACGTTTCCTATCTGTTCATACAGACGATCAGAGAGGCTGTTTATTTCATGCGAATTAATGTTCGCTTCAATGACTGGCAATTGCCATTGAAATGCAAAAATATTGAATAAAATTCAGAAATGTGCATTCAGTGGAGAGAAGATGAGAAAAAGCCATACACATATATTTCCAATGACATCCATAAAAGAGTTTCAATTTAAAATTTCAATTAATCCTACATAATTATGTATGGATGTATGGTAATTAAAACTTACATTTGAAATGTGATTTGTAAAATGAAGAAATGTGTATTTAATATTGAAATTGTGCTGAATCTATTTACATGTCGATGCATTTAAGCGTGGCAAAGTGAGAAAAGAGTCGAAAAAAAAATCTGTACACTATACGTACACGGTCCTCATTTCTTATCATTGATATTATTGAGTTGTTTGGAGCGAAAATGTAATACAGAAAAGTTGCGCGGAAAAATGTCGATGATGAATGAGTGGAAAAGGGATAGCTATATAGTATACTGTATAGTAAACTATAGTGAACTATATTGCTATCTCTTTTCATTTGATATTTTTCCGCGCAACTTTTCTGTATTACATTTTCGCTCCAAACGACTCATATTATCGTTGTTATTACTATTATTTGCTGCACAAATGCAATCAAATCAAGTGTTGTGATTCAGATTTTACTTTGTGTTTTGCTTCTTTAATTTAGCGTGCGGGCGCTTGCGTGCACTTCTGCGATCATGTCTTGGAATTTGAGTTTGCATTGCCTGAAGACGGAATACGATCGATTCAAAGACGAAGATGAACGATATAACAGGCAGTCAAAATAGCCGAGTAGAAGTAGCGGATATGAGCAGACAAAAGTACACATTGAGCATGTTTCGCGTATGAAAAATTGTATGCAAAAAGGCCAACAACAAGAGTCGAGCGTGCTGTGTGTGTGCTGTGTGTGTGTGCTGTACACGTTGAGAGCGAGATAGAGATAAAACCGCAAGCCGAATTAGTGTACCACTTATTGATTGTTGTTAACTCTCACGATCGATGGCCGTATGTTTGGCACATTCGTTGTTTCTGGTTGCGCGCGACCGACCGCGCACACCGAGAGAGAGAGAGAGAGAGAGAGAGAGCGATAGAGAGAGATATGTATGAGAGGGTGCGAGGATCATTTGCCGCACTTTACTGGTGAAAATGACAGCGATCATCGTTCGCTTACATATGCTTTGGCATTGTTTTCTATGATTGTGCGCGCTCGGCTCATTGCTGTTTTTATTGCATCGTTTTCAATGTTGTTGTTTTCTCCTCTTTATTTCTTTCTTTCTTCATCTTTCATTCGTTCGAGTGTGTGTGTGTGTGTGTGTGTGTTGTATGTATTATGTTTTCAGTTCGTGTTGTTTGAAACATCGGCCGAGAGCTGCGAAGCCGTGAGTTGATTTGATTTTCTTATTTCGATTGTTGGCTCGAGTATTATTTTCTTTCGAATGTATCACATGCCCAATTGTACTGGTGATTTGTGAATGTGGCGAAAGCATTAGTTGATGTTTCCAATTGACTATTCATTAAACAGTGTCGAATACAAACATAAAGGCGAGGAGCACACGATTTGTTTTGATATTGTTGCTGCTGTTGCCGTCGTAGTCGTTATTTTTCATTCGCGTTCGTTGGTTAGTTAGTTGGTTGATTCGTTCCGTCTTCCATTTTAAACCAAGCCAAACGAAATGGCAATACACAGTTGAAAGATATTTGGAACGGTGCGAAAGATAGACAACGGTCTTGAGGAAAAAGAGGTATGAAAATTTTTCATTCATTTTTGCTGTTTCATCATCTTGGCCTCACCGCCTCAACCATACACACAATAACTAACTGTAAACATATTTGATTTGAGAAACGATTTTTCTGTAGCCACACACGTAAAATGCTGCACAATTCACCAATTCGAACATTATATGTATACATATTGTGGAGCAGGCGAGCACCAAAGTCGTGTGTGTGTGCGCGCGCGCACGCTCACACACAGCGACCAAAATGAGTAGGAAAACGGCGAGCGACGGAGCGAGCCGAAGAGAGCAACAGAAAAGAAAAATGTAAAATAATGCAGCATTTCAAGCAAAATACAGACTACAAAGACAAAAAGAAAGCACACACAAGCGACAATAACAGCTTTAAAAATGAAGGGAAAAAATGTAAAAGAAAGAAGGAAAAAAAATACGAAGCGAAAAAATTGTAATTGTGCTACTATTATACATTTGGATCGCGCGCATACGCACGGGTTCATTGCACGATTTTTTTTTTCGTCTATTATTTTTATATTCTTTCGTACATTCCGTTTTCTTTTCGCGCTGTCTTTTTTGCATTGGTGAACCAAATAAGGCGCAAACAAAGCGTGAACCCAATACACGAACTGCGTAGCATACATGCGATAGGTTGACCATCCAATTTTTTTTTCCATTATACAATGAGAGCACACTCATTCAGTTCTCTTGCTCATGCTTCTCTTTTCGGTTCAACGAAATCATTTCGTCGCTGTGTTGTTGTTTTTTTTATTCAAATATTTAATATTGGATGGCGATCTCGATTTCACATTTGACCAAATTATTCAAGAAAATGAATAATAAAAATGAGAAGAAAACAACGGCGGCGGTAAACTATTCCACCAACCGCATATATATATATATATATATAAATATACGTATACATCATGTGCATACATGTGATCATGTCTCGGGAAACGTCTCGACTCTTCGCACACTCTTTAATCATAATTTCGTTCGCTTATTTTATTACTCTGCGTCTTTCGATGTAAATCGTTCAAAAATCTACATGTATCAGGATCAAATTATATAAATATTTTTCGGTGAAT